AGAGTCTCGCTCTGTCACCCAGGCTGGAGTGCAGTGGTGAGATCTTGGCTAACTGCAACAACCACCTCCCAGGTTCAAGCTATTCTCCTGCCTCAGCCTCCCAAGTATCTAGGACTAGAGGTGCGTGCCACCATGCCGGGCTAATTTTTTGTATTTTTAGTAGAGACGGGGTTTCACCGTGTTAGCCAGGATGCTCTTGGTCTCCTGACCTTGTGATCCCCGGCTCAGCCTCCCAAAATGCCGGGATAACAGTCATGAGCCATCGCACCTGGCCAGAATGTATTACATTTCCCAAGAGAAGGGACATTCCATACCACACAGGACCATGGGAGAAACATCAGGCTTTGTTGAGGAGGCAGAATTAGACCAAGGGCCACAGCCTTCATCAGAGTTTCCTCAGGAAAGGCAGGGCAGAATAAATGGTTTAGGATTGGCTAGTTTGATTCATTCCAGTGGACTTTGTGCTATAGGGTGGTCTCTAGTTGTCTGGCACCTGGTCCTGGGGTGATTTAGTACAAGTGGAATAATGGCTTGGTGTGTGAAAGGTGAAGGAGGTGGCTGGCGTGGATGAGAGGCATTCTTGCAAAATATGAGGTAAGTGTCTCTAGGAGTAAGCTAGCCCTGGAAGGAGCAAGTCTGTCCCTGGGTCTGGAAGCCCCCCTCAAGACGTCAAAACATAAGACAGAGAAAATTGGAAGCATGCTCATTACAGCCTCCCAGCAAATGGATCCTCCAGCCTCACTGGAGCTTTCAGGTAGGAGAGGAATGTTCATTGTTTTAAGCCAGTCGTTCCTGGGGGTAATTTGTTACACAGCAATAGATAACTAAGGGGGGAGGAGGGGGCTGGGCAGTGATGAAGGGGTCGGGTCACCTTATCGAAGCAGTAACAAAAATAGTCATGTTTCAGCCAGGCACATGGAGATTCAGCTGGAGATCCAGCACATAATCCCAGCTGGAGAACCACTCTGAACCCAGGAGGCAGAGGTTGCAGTGAGCCGAGATCGTACCACTGCACTCCAGCAAGACTCTATCCCAGGGGAAAAAAAAAAAAAGAAAGAAATGGTCATGTTCCTCTTCTGGATCTTTGTAGTCAGAAATAAACAATAAAGATGGTCATGCTAAAACTGCAGGGCAGCCGGGCCCGGTGGCTCAAGCCTGTAATCCCAGCACTTTGGGAGGCCGAGGCGGGTGGATAACGAGGTCAAGAGATCGAGACCATCCTGGTCAACAAGGTGAAACCCCGTCTCTACTAAAAATACAAAAATTAGCTGGGCATGATGGTGCATGCCTGTAGTCCCAGCTACTCGGGAGGCTGAGGCCGGAGAATTGCTTGAACCCAGGAGGCGGAGGTTGCGGTGAGCCGAGATCGCGCCATTGCGCTCCAGCCTGGGCAACAACAGCAAAACTACGTCTCAAAAAAA